AACTCTGCCCTAAACTCTAGCCTATCAAAGAGCAAGTACAAACCAGCCATAGTCAAGGTCAAGGTCAAGGTCAAAGCTGCATGGTTTTCCTGAGACTCCAACTCAAGAAACCTTCCAAGTCAGGAAACCTTCAGGGGTGGGAGGGACAGAGAGCATTTGCTCACTTGGTCCTCAAGTCCCAGGACCAGAACACAATTTCTGCCCCACCCTCTCCAGGGAGTATGGTCACAGGCATTACCAGCACAGAGGGCACTGTAGCCTCCAGCAAGGCGAGGTTCCCCTGGTGGTCATGCTGAAGCCAGGAGGCATCTTGAGCAATGGACTCACACAAGCCATTTGTCTCCACAACCTTCTGAGACAAGCCAGCTGCTCTTGGATCTATTTTCAGTCTGTCTCTAGTGACTATGAAGGATTTCTGGAGCTTCCTTCCTGAGAGGGCTGGGGACATGTCCATTCTGTCACTAGTGCCTGACAGGTGAAAACCCAAGCTCTCTGGCTGCCTCAGTGTTACCACAAGGTCCTGCTTTGCTCAGCTCTTTCTCTCCAAGGCCCTCCTAACCCCCTTGGCTACCTGCCCTGTCATTGGCCCTCAATTTCAAAGACCATGATGTACCAGCTAGCACTCACTGGGTAAAGTATGCCAGTGAGACGCATGAGTTTCAGCATTAACTGGGCAGCTGCTTTTTCTTGGGGGGGGGAGCACTTGCTCCCAAGTGCTGGGCATCATGCTCAGCCACATGTCCAGTGGAATGCTTTCTAAGATTGTTCCCATTACTTGCATATTCATTTATCCTTTATGTGTGGGAAGAAGAAATCTAGTACACTACACTCCAAACACTGTACCACTTGCTGCTTCCCAGACCCACTCTCACCTCCTGCACCTCTCCAATAGACCCTGAATAGTATACCCACAAGGTGATCCAGGCTAGGTGAAGAAGAGGCTAACCCCGGGCAGAGCCACAGCCTCAATGAGACCCAGAGGCTTTTTTCCCTTACTGGGTACCCGGCCATCAGTCTAACTGAACTGATAAACTATCCAGCATTGTGCTGTCTCTTACCTGCTATCACCCATTGACCCAGGGGTGTCCCCCAAAATGAATTCTTTCCCCATGCCTTGAGGCACAGCAGGAGCCATTGGACAAATACAATAAACATGGCTACAGATGACCCAAGACCAAGGAAAAATGTCTGTAGTGATTCCCCAGCACTGTAAGTGGCTGTTTTGCTTTGCATGAGATGTGGCTGTGGTACCGAAAGATACTCTGTGCCACAGAATGAAAAGACAGCTGTTCAGACCCTCAGGGCCCCAGGGGGACTCATCACCTCAGTGCGACCAAACATACCAACTGGCCACACCTACAATACCACCACATCTTCCCAGAGCAGCTTTGAGGAACCCAATGTCTTTGGAAAGGGCTTTCCTGGGACACCACCTTCAGCAGACTAGGGGCCCAAAGAAGGATCTGTGATTTCCCATTGCTTTGCCTCCCTAGGCTCAAACATCCAAGCTGTGACTGAATGAATTCTTCATTTCCTCTGGGAACTAGCCCTTTCTGGCAAATAACTTCATAAGTCAGTTCTATTTCCATTTCCCTTGCCATACCCACTAGACATGGAGGTGCCTCTATCTCCCTCAAAGCATCCCCCATCCATCCCTCCTTTCTCAGCTTGTCCTTACTGTAGGGCCCTGAGACTCTGACCCCTGGACATTTGCCAAAGCACCCGAATGCCTTGGCATGAGCCCTTGCTCCCTCCACCTTGCTGGCCTGGCTACTTCTCATAGAATACAGATAAGTCACCTTTTAGTGGCATCTCAGTTTAGACAAGAACTTAGGTCTTGGTGAATAGTTTAAGTCAGGCAGCACAAGAGAGGGAAGGAAGGAGGGAGGGAGGAAGGGATGGAAGGAAGGAGGGAGGGAGGGAGGGAGTCAATCACAGGGAAGCCAGACAGGCCACAAAGACTTGCAAACTAGTGGGGTTCCATTCTCCTAAAATGGTCTGTGGAGTCACATTGGCACTATTCACCCAATGACCCCCTCCTTGGTGGAGGTCTATCCCTCAAGCACCATCTCAGCACTTCCAAGTATTTCTGTACTCAGTTAAACCAGCACCATACCTGGGAGAAGTGTTCAGGCAGAAAGACACAAGCCTGAAGCCGCTGGGGGACCTCAAGGTGGGCTTGGGCACAAGGGGGCAGGGCCTTTACTGCAGCCTCTCTGCCTTTGTGAGGAATTCCTCATGCCCTAGGCCTAGCTGTCAAGGTCTAGCTGTCAAGGCAGATTCAGGATACACTTCAACAGATCTCACACAATGACAGATCATTTTTAGTGTAAGTATATTCCAAACCTGAAAAGCAGCACATTTAAGCTAAAAACCTGTATGTTATTTGAAATCCAAATTTCTGGGCCTCTTGTAGTTACTTGCTGGCAACCCTCCTTCAAAGTCCTGCTTGATCTGCTGTCCGTCCATTCCCTAGTACCTAGGTCCTCAAGCCCTTCCCCTCCACGGGACACAGGAATCCATGAAATAGAACAGCCATCTCCATCTACCTCTGAAGTCTGTCAGAACACATCAGCCCATAGTTACTGCCCTCTCCTCCCATCTCCACACACAGCGGCTGTGGGGCTGGTATACTCACCTTATGCCCTTGGGTTATCTGTTAGCATGTGTCCTAAGTCCCTATTTTCCTTCTCCTGACACAGTGATCAACAGGTCACCATTAGTTGGCAGGTAAGGGAAGCTCCTGATCCTGTCAGCAACCTCAAGCCTTTTGGGAGACAGAACTCTCTCCTTCAGCCCTGGTTCTTGCCCTAAGGGAAGCACCAGGCACATGTCACGCTTAGTGAACCACTGAGAGACAATGGGATGAATACTTTTGACAAGGGCCAGGTCATGCCCAGAATGGCGACTGTGTCCCATCTTTGACTGGTTTTTAGCATTCACAGACTGACCTCAGCCAATTCTGGATTTTGCCCTACACTCCCACCCACATCACCCCACTCTCATCACACACACACACACACACACACACACGAGAGAGAGAGAGAGAGAGAGAGAGAGAGAGAGAGAGAGAGAGAGAGAGAGAGAGAGAGAGAGGCCGGGATCAGGCTCTCCATTTGGCCTCAATTCAATATGGTTTGGCCAATGGGCATGGTTCTCTCTCTCTCTCTCTCTCTCTCTCTCTCTCTCTCTCTCTCTCTCTCCCTCTCCCTCTCCCTCTCTCTTTCCCCCTCACTTTTTCCCTGCTCTTCCCTCCCCCTTTTATTTTTTTACATGCAGGACCTTGCTATGTAGCCTTAGCTGGCCTTAAGCTCACAAAAGTCCTCTTGTGAGCATCAGGATCTCAGCCTCCCGAGTGTGGGGATCTCTCTCCTGACCTCTGAAATACATGTAATAGCCATACATGTATATAACACTTGACATTGTAAAAAGCTTTTTCATGAATTGTTTTATTTCAGTCTCCCTGAAAGGCAGGCAGGCAAAACGGGCCATTTTCTCTGTGTAACAAACAGAACAAGCTGAGTGGTTAAAGGGCCAACTCACCATCACTGTTAAATTAATCTTAGCAACAATGCTTCTTTCAATTTACAAAATATAGCTTTAAAATGTCTTATATGGAAAAAAATGTCTCATATGGGCGATGCAAGCAAGAATATTTCTTCCTCAAAACCCTTATTCCCCAGTTGTGGGGTCACCACCAGGGATTCATGACTTGCTGGGGCATCCAACTTCAGCCTACCGGTACCCTTAAGCACCTATCAGATGTGTGGGGCTCCAAGTCCTAATCTTCACCCGCTGGCGCACGCCCTGGACCAGGAGAGGGATGGAGGGAGTCTGAAAGGAAGGGCTTCAGGGCAAACACAGTAGGAAAAGCCTAGTGCTCTTTAGAGTGGACTGAGTGTGGAGCTATTGGCAGGCCAGTGCTGTGATGGGGATCAGCCTAGATGCGATCAGGCAGCGCAGGCAGGAAGGTGGGACTCCCCGAGCCATCCCATGCTGCTCCAAGACCCTCAGAGTGTGGCGGGAACAAAATATTCTCCTCGGAACCTGTTGTGGTTGCACACCTGCGTGTCTGTCTGGGGGTGTGCTGGCACGTGGGTTTGGGAAAACCTTTGTTTGGTTCGTGACGGCAGTGATGTGATCAGGTGGGGGGGGGGTCCATCGGAAAAGGTAAGAGCTTGGAGTACACCTCCTGCCACCTGATCCCTTTTTGGGGGCGGCGAGAACAAGCAGCCTTGCACTACCCTCCAGGTCAAGCTAGTGACAGACCTACAGCACGGTGGGAACGAGACCCTGCCCTCTGCTTCCTCTGGCTGGATTGATCGCTGTCGTGAAAGTCCAGCCCAGGCACCGGCATCCTCTGAGCTGAATTTCGCGACAGCCCGGAATAGACTAGAGCCTTGAACCCCCAAATCCCACCCAGGCCTTTGGTCATGCTCTACTGGTGAGACCAAAGGAGCCGCTGCAAAGGGGCCCCTGCTGCGATTCACAAGCACCAGGAGGAAATTGGTACTGAGGGAGCGTTATTTGGGAGCACAGCCACCCCACGGCCCCCACGACGTCCCCACCCACCACCCTTTTTCTCGGTCCCTGGCAGTCTCGCGTGGCTCCACCTCCCGGAGCGCAGCAGTCCACACCGTCCTTTTTCAGCAAAACAACACGACGCACCCCCCACCCCCACCCCAGCACCCGCACCCGGCAGGATCGGGGCTACGCCCAGGCGGCCACCAGCCGCGCACCCGGGAGCGCGCTCCGCGTCCCCGCTGCCCTGCAGCCAACACCCCCCCCCCTCGCCCGGCCCCTGCCCGGGATGGCCCACGAGCTCCACGCGGGTGCCAAGCAAGATCCGACCTCGGGCTCCGGGGCCCAGCTGGGACCCCGCCCCTCCCCCTCCGGAGCCGCCCGAAGTGACAGGAGGGGCGCAGAGCGCGCGCGGGGAGTCCCACGTTAACCGCCTCGGTGCCGCCGGGGGGACCGGAGCTCCCGGGCTGGGGACTCACCGGAATGTGCACCCGCAGCGACCTCCGCTTCAGGCTGGGGTTCTTCTTGCCGCTCCCGCCGGGGCTGGAAACTTCTTTCTTCTTGATGTCCATGGCCGCGCTTCCCATAACTTTAGCCAGAAGTTGATTCCTGGAGCCTCGTCCCCCGGGGTTCCGTCCCCTCCCGACCTCCCCGGGTGCTGCCGTTACACGGGGGCCGCGCGTTCTTTAGGATTAGGACTGTCCTTGCAGTCTGAAGACACCTCGTGGGGACTTCCGCGGGGAGGGCGGGTGCAGCAGGTACCACGCGCGGCGCCACCCGAGGGGCGGGCGGGCAGCGGAGAGCGCGGAGCCGGAGTGTCCTCCTCCTCCTACCGGATCATCGCGTGCAGCCGGGGCCCGCACTGCTTCAGGTTACGCGTGGCAGAGGTCTGCTGGGTGACAAAGTTTTCCTCCTTCTGCAAAGCCAAGCAACATTTTCCACCTCTCGGCTCCTCCCACAGACTCCCAGAGGTAATCCTGGCAGGTGCAATTAAAAACTGTAACTTGGAAAACAGCCCTCCGGTGCCTGCGCCTGGGTGGACACGGTGGCCAGAGCGAGGCAGTTTGCGTGGAAGTGCATCACCCTGGGCCGCGGAATAAAGCTGCCCGGAGCCTGGGGCCGGGAGGTCCTCCTCTCGGGGCGAGAGGGAGGGCAGAGGGGGAAGAGGAGGCGCAAAGGCGAACGCTCCTGCAATTGGGCTAGCGCGTGGCCGCCGGCACAAGTAGTAGCAGCGGCTGGTGGGGTCCTGCGGGCCCGAGGGCGCGCCCGAGCCCCGCGGGGCGAGCAGGGCTGGACGCCCGTCCCCCGCGGCAAGCGTGCCGCGGCCCCCCAGGACGCAGGGGACCGTGGGGGCCGGGCCTGGCCGTGGCGCAGGCTCCGGGCGCACAGGGCGGTGGAAGGCGGTGCGCGTTGAACAGGAAGTGCGCGGCGTGCGGCGCCACTGTCCCACTCCACGCCGCCCACGCTACCCCCGGGTCGCCGAGCTGGGTCTTCCGCCGCTGAGCCAGGCTCCAGACTCGCCCCGAGCTGATTGCGGATCCAGCTGGCCTTGCAGAATCTCTGTATAGGCCTGACCCCCTTGCAACGTGACCCCGCACCCAGACCCCGCCGTTCCGGGCGCCTCGGGTGTCGGCGGCTCCGGGGATCTGCACGTGCCGGGCGGAACGCGGCCACTCCGCGGCGTGGGGCCCCCATCGCTGGGCTGAGCGGCCTATGGCCGAGTGCTGGCTTTCCGCTCCCGCCCGCCCCTGGGCCCTTTTCAAATTCGTCAGGAGTTGCGCAGCTGATCGCCGCGGTTCCAGCGCAGGTCCGCGCGTGCGGGGGAGAGCGCGCAGGGCCTGGGATTGCGGGAGGAAAAGGGTGGGCGAGGGGCGGAAAACCAGGGCGAACACGCCACGTGCTCTGGGTCCTACAGAGTCACTGGCTGCAGATCGGGCACCGCCCGCTGCTCGGGGTCCGGGTGCTATTCCGGCAGCGAGACCTTGGCTCCTGGGATGGAGAGGCGGGGCGCGTTCCCCCTGCTGCTCATTTCTGAGGACGGGATGACCCCAAAGATCAAAGAAGCTGACGTCAGCCCAGCTGTTCCCCTCATCAGTAACGTAGCGGGGACACCCAGATAAAAAACGAGGTAGAGGTCGCTTAAGAAAAGTCACCGGCAGACGGGCCGAGGAGGTGGCCTTTGCGCTTCTCCACGGGTGGTCGCCTGGTTCTCTCAGAGGAGGGTCATAGTCAGCACACTTTGGGGACCATGCCTTGGGAAAGGGCCTGTCTGCCCCAGGAGAGACAGCCTGGGTTCAGCTGTCTTCTGGGTTTACACTTTTCCAAAACTTGGTGGTGGGTCCCTGGTTCAGCAGATGGGTTTGTATACCCTCTTCCCCTCCCCTGCTTTCCAACCAAGAATGAAGCTGGAGTGGAAATTCACCCCTCCCCAACTGCCCCATCCCTAAGAAGTGCCTCACAGGCCCTCTGAAAGAAACCTCTGGGATCAACATACAAGCCCGTGGTGCCTTGTCACCATCCGGGTGTGGGACTTCGGGTGGTTTCTTGCCTGGCTCCTGGATAAAGGTCTTCAAGAGACTCTTAGCAGTGTTCACTAGAGAAATGGGGGTTCAGTGTGTGGGCTGCAGTGTGAAGGACCAAGGTAGCCACCCCAGCCATCAGAAAGTCAGTCCTGGACTGTGAAGTGTTTGTCATTCCTCCAGTTTCAAATGTTCATCCCTGGCACTCAGTAGTTAAGAACACGAGCTGCTTTTGTGGACTCAAACCTGGGTTTGATTCCCAGCACCCACAGTGCCACAGCTAATAGCCATGAATAAACTCCAGTTCCAGGGGAATCTGTCACCTCTGACGTCTATGGGCATTGCACAACACAGGTGCACTTACATACATGCAGGCAGTATGCTCCTACACATAAATAAAATAATAAATAAAACATTTTTAAATAAAATATTCAACCCTGTCATAATGATTTTCCAGGGTATCAAATGGCATCACTGGGTGAGAAATGGATTTGAAAAGAAAGATGGAGCCATCCTAAACCAGCAGGTTGACTGGGAGGGATCATCTCGGGAAGGACTACAAGGGCAAGCACTATGGGCCTTATATTACCTGTTCATTCTCTCTCTCTCTCTCTCTCTCTCTCTCTCTCTCTCTCTCTCTCTTCTCTGTATGTGTGTGTGATGTATACATACAGATGCTTTTCCCCCGTACATGCTTATATAGACTCCATAGGTTGACATCAATATGTCTTCCTCAATTCTTTCTCCACCTTATTTTTTTAAGACAGGTTCTCACACAACTTAGTGCTCTCTGACATTTTGGTTAGGCTACACCCCCAGGATCCACCTGCCTCTGCCCCGCAGCTCTAAGATTACAGACACCTACACACACACACACCTAGCCAGGCTTCCTCTTACTTGTAAAAGCTCTTGAATCTGAGTTCAAATGAAGCCCCAGAACACAAGAAAAGCTTGGTAGGGTGGTTATGCAGGTAATCCCAGAACTCCTACGAGCCAGTAAGGCTCAGGGCAGCAGCAGTAACAAGAGACCCTACTTCAAAATACAGGGTGGAAGAACTGACTTCTGGAAAGTCCTCTGACCACATGAATACACACATATAAAATAAAAATAATATTTTTAAAAAGTAGACATTAGGCATGTTGACACACATACCTTAAATACAGCATTCAGGAGGCTGAGGCAGAGAGTTCTCAAATTTTGGAGGCCAGCCTGGGCTACATTGCTGAGTCTATCTCTGAAAGGAAAAAAATGCTGTATTGTTAATATTTTAAGAGTTTGGGGAAGGCATATTTTAATATTTCTGAAATGTAGTGTTTCCTATAGATGACATCAGAATAAGTTTGTCAGTCATGTTTTTTCTTCTAAAAACATTGATGTCATTTTCTCTGGTCAGAGGAGTCTTAGAATGGATGGAGCAGAGCTGTTTTGATTTGAAAAAGCACGACTTTGTGAAACCCCTCCCTCCCCTCCACATACATATACATGGAGTTCTATGTGCTTGGTTTGGGTTGTGTTGGGTTTTTTGAGGCAGGATCTCACTTTATAGCTGAGACTGGCCTGGCACTCACAGCAGTCCTCCTTTCTCTGTCCTCCCAGAGCTGAGATTACAGGCATGTATACGTACAAGCATATGTCCACACATGCATGTACACATGCATATATAGACCCTTTCTCTGTCCTCCCAGAGCTGAGATTACAGGCATGAGCCACCAAACCTAGCTTGTATGCAGTTATTTGAGACACATCTACATGTGGCCCGCAGGACCACTGTCCATATTGCTAGATGCCCTACATAGTAGCCTTCTCAGGTCTCATGTAGTACAGGCTGGCCTTGAATTCACTATGTAGCCAAGGATAACTGACTTTCTGATCCTCTTGCCTCCATCTCCTGAGTCCAAGGATTACAGGTTTGTGCCACCATACCAGTTTATGTAGGACTTCATGCATGCTAGGCAAACATTCTACCAGCTGAGTGACATCCCCAGATCCTACATCTTAGAGTCTATTTGTACCTGATTTTGTCTTTCCCTCAGGCCCCAGGTTACTCAGCTCTCTGTCAATCCTGTCTTTGTGTAGCTTTCTGATTTTTAGAACAATGTTGCATTAAATAGCATTTGTCTCAATGACTGAACTATTAGTACTTCAGAGATTTTTTTTTCATCCAAAGTCAATGCTACATACACACACACACACACACACACACACATACATAGACATACCCACATATAAACACACACATACACATATACATGCATTCATCTAGCCATACATACCTAGACTTACCCACATATGAATACATACGTGTATACGTACAAGCATATGTCCACACATGCATGTACACATGCATATATAGACATCACACGCACACATACACACACACACACACACACACACAGAGTCCCAGTCTGCTCTAACTGGTAGAAGGGTGTGGTGGTTTGAATGAGTGCCCTCCATAGGCTCAAGTATTTGAACAACTGATCCTTGTTTGGTGGCCTTGTTTGAGGAGGATCATGGAACCTTTAGGAGGTGTGGCCATGCTGGAGGAAGCACATCACTGGTCACTGGGGATGGGCTTTCGAAGTATATAGCCATGCCCATGACCAGTCTGGCTCTCTCTACTTCCTGTGTCTGTTTGAAGATGTGAGTGCTCAGCTTTCTGCTCTGGCCCCCTCTGCCACAGTGCCTCCCCCACCATGATAGACTCTTAACTCTGGAACTGTAAGCCCGATAAACTCTTCCTTCTATAAGTTACCCTGGTCATGGTGTTATCACAGCAACAGAAAAGTAACTAAAAATCTTGGTGGGAGCTGCCTTACTGGCGAGCTGTGGGTGGGGCAAGTCAGTTTCCTATCTGTAGGCGGAGCTGGGTGATCTTCAGATTTGAAAGGCTTTTGTAACCACAGCTTGATATTTTATATGATTTTGTTAATTTTATTCTACAATAATTTTTATACAGAATCTTACAAAAGTATCTTTTCACAGTGAATGCAAAGCAGACAACAGCAACAGAAGCAGTTGGTCTGCAGCATTAGCTCATGATTCATGCTTTAGCACATCTGATGAGTGTTACTAACCGTGTTTTACACCACACACGTGTCATCGCTGAACCACTGCATGAATGTCCCCCACATCTGGAGTCCCCATTTTGAGTACCATCACTCACCAGGGCTCCTGTTGAACATGCTGTGCCATCATGATAGGGCCGCCTCTTCCCAGACAGAAAGATGCTTCCTTCAGAGCAAATGATGGAAAAGCTGCACCCAAGCCTGCTTCCCAGTTGAGAAGCAAAATTAGAAAAGCAAAAGAGGTAAGCTGAAGTCGGATGTGGGGTGCGTATCTATCCTCGAGCTACACTAGGGGGAGTGTAAGGATTGCTTGAACCCAGCAGTTCAAGACCAACCCAGGAGACAGTGAGGAGGGGGGGAGGGAAAGAGGGCGAGAGAGAGAGAGAGAGAGAGAGAGAGAGAGAGAGAGAGTTTGCTGAGGTGATAGTAGTAATTATAGTATGTTCAAGAGAGTTTCCATTACCTCTGTCACATTATTTTCCTTTTTCACTACAGTCTTCTTTATTTTGTCCCATGTGTTTTTATGCATCTGTGTATGTCTGTATATGTGTTTGAGTGGGTACTATGGCACATGAGTAGAGGTCAGAGGACAACTTGTGATTATTAAGTATTTCCTCCCTTCTTGTGAGTCTTAGGTTTAGAGCTCAGATTGCAAGATTTGGCAGCTGGTACCTTTACCCACTGAGCCATCTTGCTAGCTCTCACAT